AAGATATAAAAGAAAGGAAATCGGAAGAGAATAGAAACAACAGCAGCAACAGTAAAAATAACAGCACATCCAATCTGTCGTCGCTGTTGCTGCCGCTGTTGTTGTTGTTGCTGTTTCCTTTCTTCAGCAGGAAAAGAGATCTTTAAATTTTTTTTTCTTTAATTGATACTTTAGTGTTAGTGCTTTGAAGGGGATTCACACAGAACAGACAGCAAAAATTGACTTTACAACTGTTAATACCGCTATTTCAATTGTTGCTATTGTTGGTGCTGCTGACGATAAGAGCTGTTGCCGTTGCCACTGCTGCCCCTGCTGAATGCCTACAACTAATACGTGTCTGTGTTTCTGAGTGAGTGTGTGTAGTTTTGAGTGCGAGTGTAAATGTGTGTCTCTGTCTGTGTGTAATTTACATGGATATACTTATAACGGTGTTCAAAAACACTGTTATATCGGAAATCGATATTGCAGCAGCAAATACAAACAACTGCTGTATTAAAGCAAAAACAGAAAAAATTTGAAATTTCGTTTATCTTTTTTTTTTGCATTTTTTTCTTCTGTTGTTACTGTTCATAAAATTTGTGAAAAAAATTTTTTTGATACTTATATACAAATATACAACTTTACAATTTAGTAACAAAATAAAAGTGGTTAGATTTAAAAAATAATAGTTGTGTAAAAACTTTAAAAAAAAAGCCTATTTTAGAAGATATTCACTTAATCTCTCACCTTTCAACTTATTGCGGCACTTCAAAATTAACGCCAGTTGCTGTGATTATACAGGTAAAAAGTTAGAGGAGAAACTAAAAAATATTACTGGAACAACAGTAATACTTTTGATTGCTAAAATCAGGAGCAGCGCAGTCATTAACATCACTACTATTGCTCTATGTTAGCATAATTGTAAGATTGTAAAAATAAGTGTTTGTCTATATGTTTGTGGGGGTTTTGTACTATTAGCTAGTAATTTTCCGGATAATTCCTGTTACCACATTGGTAGCTAAGTGTGTATAGGAGATAAGCCAAAACAAAAAAAAAAAAAAAAGTAGTTTTGGTGATGATGATGACAGTGCTGAAATAACTATAGCAGATGTTTATTTTGGATGCACCTACTCCACTTTCTCTCTATATATTCCCTCCTATACACTTCAAGAGGTACCTTCCTAGAGCAAAGTACACAAAACACTTATGAACCTACATACATGTACATCTCAGCTTAGGCACGACGTACCGGAAAACGGTTGAACAATCATAGATTGAACCTTTTTTTAACATAGTCTACAACAGCTTTACTTTTGCAACAGTCAAATACTTGTTCATATGGGAAAAAGAATAAGATAATGGTACTTCAACACTGCCGTTTTTTTCTTCTTTTCTTCTGATTTTCTAAGAAGACTAATGCAAAAAAACTGATTATTATGCTGTTTCCTTTAATTTATGAATCTACATTATCAGCAGCAGCTTTTTTTTTACACAGTTGTTCTGTAATATCAGTTGTTTTTCTTCATACTTTTTCGTCAGCAACTTTTTTTTTTAATAGAAATTTTTAAGAACAAAACGATAAACAGGCAACGGAAGTATCATATGCAGCAGAGATAAATATAAATAAGCTTTTTCTAAACACATAATTATTTGATCAGTTGTCACTTTAAAAGGCATTTGACATTTATTTACAGCGCACTCATCTAAATAAATTTTTTACGATACTTTAAGTTTTTTTCGCTAATTTTTAAGTTTACGACAGTTACAAATCTTGCAAAGATCTTGTTCTCTATTACACAACAATTGCTCGAAAAATTTCACACATACTCTGCAGAAGTTTTGCAAAAAAATTAATACATTTTTAATAATATATAGCAGAACAAGTTTTTTTTTTTTTTTTTGTCTCTTTCTCAATTCATCGTCTTTTCTTTATCATTTCTGAAGATATCAAACAGAAGCAGATAAATGCGAGGCCTAATCAAGCCACATTGGCGGCAACGGTGACGACAATCACCTAAACGACTGTGCTTTAGAGAGTTGTGGAAAAGTGCATCATCATTGTCGTCGTCATCTTCAACTCCATCGTCTTACTGAAAGTTTAAGATCAAAATGTTAGATCCTAAATAAAAGCTTAATCTCTTTTTTATTCCTTTTTTTTTGTATTTTCTATGTCTCGCTTATTCTTCCTACTTTTTTCTTGCTCATTTTACTTATTTTTCAGTCATACTTTTATTTAATGAATAATTTTTTTGCTACTTTTTACCACAACAGTCAAAAACACTAGCAACGGCAGTAGCAACAGAAAGAAGAACAACAACATTATCCACTTTTTACTAAATCTTTTTTATTTTTCTCACAACTAATAGAAAAACAAAAAGTTTGCATATTCGCGCAGGAATACAGCATAAAAAATGGCAGAAAAAAAGTTGGTTGTCTAGTTTGGTCATTCCTATAAAACAAAGTTCTTTGTTTGCAGCTGTTGTTATTGTTTTTGCTGTTGACTGTTTGAAACAAACTTTTTGGAAAAAAAAACAGCAAAAAAAAACTTCAGAAAAAAACCAAAACAAATGACAATAAGGTTTTTTAAACTTTTTTCAAGTTTTTTCTAAGTAACATTGAAAGTGCTAAGAAAACAATTTTGAAAAAATTTCAAAACCAACAACAGTAACATCAACGGTGGTTAAGCTATGCAGATAAACATCTAAAACTTTCTGTTACTTC